CTCCTCCTTTAGACTATACATGTTGGAAAACCTGTCCCAGCAACAGGGAAGTTAACTGATGTACATTGTATGTAGCCTTTTGTAAGTGGCCTATTTTACATTTTCCAGATTCGTTTATGCAGTGGCATATCTCAGTACTTAATTGCCTTGTATGGTCAAATAATACGGATATACCACATTTTGTTTACCTGTTCATTAGTTGATGGATATTTGGGTTATTTCCACCTTCTGGATGTTTTGAATAGTGTAGCTATGAACACTCATGCACAAGTTTTTGCTTGAACACATTTTCAGTTTTTTTTGAGTATATATCTAGGAGTAGAATTACTGGGTCTTTAATAAATTACTGACTCTTTAATAAATGTTGTTGGAAAAACTGGATTTCAACTTGCCAAAGATTAAAATTAGACCCCTATCTTTCACCATGCACTAAACTAAAACCCAAGTGGATTAAATATCTAAATATTAAAACAGAAACACTAAACTTGCTGGAAGATAAGTTAGGTTGAACTCTTGAAGACATTGGCATAGGAGAAGACTTTATGAACAAATCCTCAGTAGCACAGGAACTAGCACAAAGAACCAACAATTGGGATCTCATCTTTTTAAAAAGCTGCACTGCAAGAGAAACTACCAACAGAGCTGATACAACCTATAATGTGGGAAAAAATTTTTACCAGCAGTTCCTCAAACAAAGGCCTACTATGTAGAATATATAAAGAACTAAAAAAATCAGACCCTACAAATGTAAAGAACCAATTAAAAAATGGGCATCTGAAATGAACAGAGATTTCTCAGACAAAGAAGTAAAAGCAGCAAATAAACATATGAAGCAATGTTCAACACCACTGGTCATTCGAGAGATGCAGATGAAAACAACACTGAGATTCCACCTCACCCCAGAAAGAATGGCTGCTATCAAGAAATCAACCCATAACAAATGCTGGTGGGGCTGTGGGAAGAAAGAAGCCCTTCTTCATTGTTGGTGGTAGTGCAGACTGGTGCAACGAATGTGGAAATCAATATGGAGATCTCAGACAACTAGGATTAGAAGTCCAATTTGACCCAGCTATTCCCTTGCTGGGTATCTTCCCAAAAGAATTAAAAGCATCATACCACAGTGATATACGTGTACCCATGTTTACAGCTGCACAGTTTGTAATAGCTAAAACTTGGAAAAAGCCCAATGGCCCATCAACTGGAGACTGGATAAAGAAGTGCATGTGTGTGTGTGTTTTTAATAAAATGGAGTTCTACTCAGCCATAAAGAATGGGAATCTAAAGACATTTATAGCTAAGTGGATCACACTGAGGCCATACTTTAAGTGAAATAAATAAGATACACATGAATAAATACATGTGAAAAACTAGTATAAATACGGATCAAAATGTATAATTGATATTGTGTAATAGGAAGAAAATGTCTAAAGGTGTAGTGGAGGTCCAGGGATTTAGCTCAGTGATTCTGGCTCCTGGCTCACAAATGCAAGGGCCCAAGTTCGATCCCTGGTACCAAACAAAAGAAAACAAAGGGTGTACGGGAGTGGGAGGGGTAGGGGAAAAGTTATAAGGGAAAAGAAAAATAAGAAAAGGCAGAAAAAGGAAACAAAGTCTTTGTAAATAGGGAAGGGTGGAGGGGGTAAAGGGAGGGCAGGAGTATGGGGAAAAAATGAGAACCAAGACCTGTCATGTAAAGGTACAAGATCTCAATGATGAATGTAACTGTACTGTATACCTAAAACATACCAAAAAACTTAATGAGGAAAGAAAAAAGAATTACTGGGTCATGCTTTTTGGGAAAATCTTCAAAGTGATTTCACAACAACCTAATCATTTTACATTTCTACTAGCACCATCAGAGGACTCTAATTTCTCCATATCCTCCCGCAGACTTCTTATTTTCTATTGTCTTTACTGGCTTGTTTTAATGCTAGTCATCCCTCTGGGTGTGCAGTGAGATCTGTGGTTTGATATTTATTTCCCTCATGACTGACTAGTGGTATTGAGGACCTTTTCATATGTTTCTGTGGCCACTCATCTATCTATCTTTGAAGAAATGTTTATTCAAATCCTTTGTACCTTTTCATAGTTGGAACATTTACTTCTTTGTTTTTGTGCTCTGTGTTCCAGGATGGCCTTGAACTTGTAGTCCTGTTGCCACAGCTTTCCAGAGGGCTGGGATCACAAGCATGTGCCATCACTCCCATCTGGGACATTTACCTCATTATTGAGTAGTAAGACTTTTATATTTTCCTTACTATTCTACATGTTTGCTTTTCTAGGTGAACCTTCACCAAGGTTGGCTGGGAACTTCTATGTAACTTAAAGACAGAAAACAAATGTTCAGGGCTGGGGATTTAGCTCAGGGGTGCCACCTCCCACCTTGCAAATGCAAGGTCCTGAGTTTGATCCCTGTTATCAAACAAACAAATAAGAAAACAAATGGTCAGCCAGAATTTAGTCTGATAGACTTTACAGAAGAAAATTTCCCTAAAGCATCTGTCTTTTCAGAGCCCTGAAAAGATGGGGCCATGTGTGTTGTGAAATGGATTTAAAGCCTGCTTACAAGTGTGGGGCAAGAGTGGGCCCTAGCCCAGTGTTTCTGGAAGGCATGTGCACGGAGATCGCTCTTACTCTCTGGCTTCATTTACCGCAGCAGAGAGCTGAGTCAGAGATCCAGGCTGGAGGAGCCCTTTGGCATCCAAGCTGTGCCTACCAGGGGGTCCTGTCAACTCAGGGTCTGCACCCGCCCTGGATTCAATTCTGAATCCATTCTATGCTCCTAGCAACTCTGGGTAATGGCCTGGAGTGACTGTTGGGCTCCAGTAGGGAGGAGGGTGGTTTCTCCTATGCCTTAGTCCTTGGGGGAGTCTGAAAGGGAATCAAATGCCTTATACCAGTTGTGTAATCCTTGGGGATTCTGAAAGAGAAGCAAGCACTTCTTAGATCAATACTTTCAAGGCTCATTTGATACAAGTCTCTGGCGGGAGAACAGACTGTTTCCTAGCTTCTCTCTCTCTCTAGAGTAGATATGAACTTGAACCTTTGTAATGAGCTAAGTGCCTTTTTTTCTTGGAAAAATTGTGTATATGTCTGATTATGATAGGGGAATAGCTTAAAAACCATATACCTGGGGTGCTTGTCCCTTTATGACTAATTTCTCAACCTTCATTTTCCTATCCCTCCTTCCTAGGAGTCTTTTTAGATATGTTTTTATCACCTTTCCCCATGACATTTTAATGCCACAGATATACTCTATATTTATTCATGCACTTTCTATATATCTATACTTTACACAGAAAAAGAAAATAAGATTGTCTCGTTAGGATGGGGTCTCACTGAGAACCGACACGCCGCAGTTCGAGGGTCTCCACCAAGAGCCATGTTGCAATTTAATCCGTGTTGTGAAGGATTCAGAGGGTAGAGACTTAATCTATGGTATTTGGAGCTGAGCCTTTTGGGAACGTGTATGAGGCATAAAGGTAGCGCCCTCATCCCATGGGTCTTTGGCTTTAGAAGAAAAAGTGGGCTGAGCTGGGATGCTGTTACCATGTGATTCCCTGCACACCCCAGGACTCTGCAGAGAACCCCCAGAAAGAAGCGCCTCTACTGATGCAGCCGTCTGGACTTCAAGTTCCCAATCTTCAACATCCTGAGCCAAGTAAACCTTTCTTTTAAATAAATGACTCACTTCATGGTGTTCACTTGCAGCCACAGTGAATGGAATCAGAGAGACAGTGTGCTTTACAATAGAAACAGAGCTTTTGCCATGGGAAGGGGCCTGAGAGTTGGAAGAGGGAGGGAAGAGGGCTAGGAGACAAAAAACTGAGATGTATTATGTACCCGAGCCAACTCCCCATGATAAATGTAACCATTATGTATCGCAAGCCGGTATGAATGAAAAACACCAAAAAAACAAAAACACTAACCCCCTTGCGGCCCCCATCACAGTGTAAAGGCCAGGAGCAGCCCTGATGTTCCTGGGCATAGATGGTAAACAAGAGGCCCTGTTACTGCTACTTATTCCCTTTCGGGCTGGGTCACAGCGGGGTCCACAACCCCCTGGAGGCTGGCCAGAGGTCTGAGTCATTCGCAGCCCATCCTACCAGGGCCCACGGGGTGCATCAGGAGGTGAATCGAGCCGGGGGAGGACGGTGGGGAAGAACAGCCCTCCGCTTAGAGGAGAAGCCAAGAATCTGGGTTTTGGGATACATTCCCCGGATTCCAGGCATTGACGAATTAACACAAGCGCAATATCGCTATGTAGGTCGCCCCAGAAAGGTGGGCCGCGCGCGGGGCGGTAGCTTGCTCGGAGTGAGTACAGTAACTCGGGCGGCCTTACCCGTCCTGGCCATCACCATGGGCCACCCACGCGGGGAGAGTCCCTGCGCCCACTTGGCAGCCTGACTTGGCCGGTGTCTCTCACCGAGTGTCGATGGCAGAGGGAGGGACTGGAGGAGGAGGGTGGACGCCGGTCCGCAGGGA